GTGATCTGCCTGCCTCAGCCTCCCGAAGTGCTGGGATTACAGGCATGAGCCACTGTGCCAGGCAACAAGATATACGCTTATCCTCATTTTACAGATGAGGTTCCTGGGGCTCAGAGTTTGAGCAACATCCCTGACTCTATGAGGAATCATTGACAACTTGGGCTCTGGAGCCCAGCTGGCTTGATTCAAATCTACCTCCCCTATTTATGAGCTGTGTGACCCCAGACAAGTTAGTTGACTTCTCTGTGCCTTCATTTCTCCATCTGTACAACAAAACAATGATAGTATCTATCTCATAGGATTACTATGAGAATTCAATGAGTTAGTGCTGGGAACTGTCCCTGTTACCTAGTCAGAGCTCCAAAAATAGATGGGTTGTTGTTATTCTACTCCAAAATCCATGCTTTTTTTCCATGAGATGGCTTTGTCCCCCAATCTCTACTGAGAGATTAAGAATACACTGCACATTAAAATAAACGGGTGTCTTTTTACTGAAGTGATGCTAAATGCTTAGATGAAGGAAGAGATCAACAGCAATCCAAACTCATCTATGTTACAATTCTCCCTGATGTTATCAGGGCAGTGACACTAAGCCAAGAGAACGAACTCCATTTAGACCTCTCTTCCTTCCACCCGCATCTTCCTCCTTTCCCTTCTCACTAGGTTCTCGAGGGTAAATTCATCTTTTTGGAATTGCAAGGGCAGTTGCTGCAAACGTCTGCACTCACTATGTCTTACTAGGTCAGTCCCTTGTCTGGTACTAGGAGAAAGGTCTGAAGATCTGGAGTCGATTTCTGGCCTACCTATTTACTGCGTGACCAGCTACAAGTCCCCTAATCCCTGAGCTTCTATTTTGTCATCTGTGTAAAACAACTACCTCCCCAGACTTACGTGAGAATCAAATTAATAATGTGTGTTAAGATGTAAGATGGAGGCCAGCATGGTGGCTCAAATGTGTAATCCCAGCACTTTGGTATGCTGAGGCAGAAAGTTCGCTTGAGCCCAGGGGTTTGAGACCAGCCTGGGAAACACAGCGAGACCCCACATCTCCATCTCTACAAAATAAAAAAATTAGCCAGGCGTGGTGGTGCACACCTGTAGTCCCAGCTACTTGGGAGGCTGAGGCTGGAGGATCTCTTGAGTCCAGGAGTTCCAGGCTGCAGTGGGCTAATTGAATCACTGCACTCCAGCCTGGGTGACAGAGTCTCACTCTGTCTCAGGGAAAAAAAAAAAAAATTAACACGTAAGATGGTTTGTAAACCGTAAATTATAGTGCATGGGAGAAATCAGGTCTCTTTGATTCACCTGGCAGGAAATCTTGTGTCTTGGCTTTCCCAGCCATCACTCTCAGTTGCAGTCAGCTTGCTGAGAACATTCTGTAAGAAGCTGCCTAGATTTCACCTTCCTTGGGGCAGGGTGGGGACGGAAGAGTGTCAGGGAGACTCTTGTAGTAAGCACCTCTGTGCTGAAAGAGCTTTTAGCAGTGACAGAGTATGAAGGAGGAGGCCTATATGGGGATGGAGAGGGTGGGGCAGGGAAGAGTCCTACTAGTAAAATTGGTTTAGAACAGCCCAGTGCCTATGGGGGTTGACTGGGGAATACATGAGATGCCTTGCCAAGTCTGGAACAAGTTTCTCAGGAAAGGGAGCCTGATCCTGCTCTAGGGAGATTGGAAAGCTCTTAGGGATAGGGTTAAGTGAAAGCATTTGTTTCTTGACACTGCACCTTCCAACTTAGGTGAAGGATAAATGTCAAAGAAGAGATAAATGTCATGCATCACTCTGGAAATGCCCAATCCGCCTACTCCAGAGTAGTGATCAGGGACTTAAGAATGGAAAAATTTGTCATTTAATGACTTATTACAGGAACGATGGACCCTGCCCGAGTTCTTGTCAATGGTGAAATCAGTGAGGACACATCTGGGCTCCCTGTTAACACCAAGTGTGTATGCAACAGTGGACATGTGGACAGAAAATAACTGGGTATGTGAGGGCACCTCACCCAGTAAAGGCTTGGGGGACAGTGATGAGAGGGCGGAGCTGAGCGGGCGGAGAGAAATGGCAGCCCAGGACAGTGGGAAGAAGATGGAGGAGCCTGAGGAACGAGCTGTCCCTGAGAGAGAACCCACAGTGTGCCCCTCACCATGCCTTCCACAAAGCCACAATTATGCCCCTTCCAAATTAGATTGTCTCCTTTCAAAAACTCACCATACCCAAAGAGTCCACAAAACCTCTCGCCAACCCTGCTGTCAGATGTGACTATTACAGGCAGCACAAAGAACAGAAAAGCTACAGAACTGTTCTTGTTCCTTTTTGGTTTTAGAGATAGGATCTCATTCTGTCACCCAGGCTAGAATGCAGTGGTGTGATCATAGTGAAGTAGTGTCATTGTCTGGGGTAAATACCCAAGTTTTGTTGTCTCACACCAAGGGAACCGAGGATGTGGACACACAAGAAGTGGGTTTAGGAGCAGAGGTTTAATAGGCTAAAGAAAGAGAAAGGATAATAGCTCTCTCTCCTGTGAGGGCCTAAGATTGGTTGGATCAGGTGTGACGTTTACATAGTGCACAAAGAAGCTGGCTACCCCACCCTAATCTTTTTATTATGCAAATGGATTTCCTACTTGGCCAGCACCATATTGTCTGCTCCTTACCGTACACGCGGTTGGAAGGAAAGGGAAGATGGAGCCTACATGTTGAACATGTCTGACCCCAGGTAGCCTTTTCCTATTGGCACAGCTGCTGGCATTCACCCGTGCAAGTTTCCACTTTGTTTATCTATGTCTGCAGCTCGATATTACAGGCTGATCATTGTTAGAAAAGAAATAATTTGGGGGCTGCTTTTCAGTAAAAGGAAAACTTTTTTTTTTTTTTTTTTTTCACAAATAGCACTTTTTATTTGACACTAATTGAAGTCTGAACTTTAAACAGATTCTTGGACTGGTGGTTCATATCCATCAGCTCGTTCAACTTTAGCACCTGTCTCGTCCCCAGTGGCTTTTCCAGAACTACTGCCTTCACCGTGAAGCTCCATGAGCTTTCCCAATTCAAACTTGGGCTTCTTCAGCATTTTTACTTTTCTAACGAAGACATCATGGAGAGGATAAATAGATTGGCAAGCCTTTTCTATGTCTTTTCCAATGCTGTCTGGAATCAATTTATTGACCACTTCTTTCAAGTCATTTGTCTGCACCTCTCGGGTCATGATTTCCATCATCTTCTTCCGGATTTGGCGGACCTGTTGGTGCTGAGCATAAGAGGTCTTCCGTATCTGATTGTTGCGTTTTTTAGTAAAACCAACACAGAACAGACGAAGCAAGTAACCATCGGTAGTCTTGACATCAACATGAGCTTCAATCATTGTCTGCCAC